TTATGCTTTGTTGATGATTTTTGAAGAATTAAATTGAAGCCTTTTTCTACTTTGAACATTTTTTGTCCTTGTTTGAGTCCGGTCCCTCACAATAGGCTATCTCACTAAATAAGTTCTGGGTTAAATATGAACAGATCCAACTAAAGGTGAAATCAAATCAACAGGATTGGGTTATGGGTGAGACGCAGTTAAACGGGTCAGGTTTTCAACCCAAAAGATGAGTTAAAGTGACAAATGTCTAACTTTGAGACTAGCAAGTAGTTTTTGGAAACGAATAACATATAACCAGGATTACAATACTATAAACATTTGGATTAAAATGTTTTCCTTTTTTATTATTGTTTTTTTTTTTTATTCTGTATTTAAGATCAAATGGAAAGTAAAGACAACCTCATGATGTCTGTCTGTACACCAGTCCTAATATAGAAAACCCAATGTACATTTGGATCGACTGACTAGCTCAATGCTGCATGGTGGTCCAGTTGATAGCTCTTTACTCTTACAGCAAAACTGTCCTGGATTACAAGCTTGGCAGACGACCAGTCCCTCTGCATGGGGGAGATCTCTATTGTTACTCCTTCATCCTCCCACAGTCCTAAGGAACACTCCAAATTTGACATTTTATTTGAATGTGTGCATTCAAATAAAGTTTGTCTCTGCGTGATTGTTTGGTAACCTGTCCAGGATGTCCTCTGCCTCTCACCCAGTGACTAATGAAGACCATCACCAACTCTTTTCACCCTGCATTGATAATGTGAGGACAGAAAATAGATGGAGGATTAGCTGAGACAGTTTTTTTTTTTGAAAATGTTGCCGCTGCTCACAATAATAAATAGAATAAATTTGAATTTAACTAAGAACAAGCAGTTAACATATGGTAACATTACCATTACAAAAGTATAATTACCCCATTAGCTGTTATACATACAGTCACATTACAACTGGGATTTTGCTTGATAGAGAATCAAAAGGTTGTGGATAATTATAAAGTGGAAGAAAAACGAGACATCTGCTTCAGATCTGTCACTAACAAAAATCTGAAATGTTATTTGTTTGTTTTCAATGCCTCTGAATCAATAACTTGTCGGCCCCCATTTTGCTTTATTATAATGTCCAGTTTAAATTATTTCTTCCATGATGGTAAGAAATTTCTGTGATGGATTGGTGACCTGTCCCGGGTGACCCCGGCTCTCGCCCGTCGACTACTGGAGACAGGCAATCATTACCCCTGGCAACGCCACTAGGGATAAGCGTGTTAGAAAATGGATGGATAAGAGATTACACATACTGCTAAATAAGTTCAGAATTTAAAAAAAATATAAACTGTGGTATTTAAAAAAAAATATCACATTAACAACTAGAAGTCCTGAGTTACTGAAACTTATTTTGAGATTATGCCACTGCAATAAAAGCTAAATTTATATGAATATATATTTAGAATTTATAAACTTGTCTCTAAACTATGTATTTCTTTACTCAGCATGTAACTTGACGTCATGTAGCTACATCATGCAGTCTGATGTTGGATTCTCAAATTTACTGCCTTTCCACCGCACGTTCATCTGGAAAATTGAGGCTGATTCACAAAAATCATTCCAGATAAACTTTGCTAACACAGGATTGACTCAGATTGCTCCAAGTGACAGCTGTACCAATAAACAGACCTACACTCTACGAGTAGCAAATATTCTCCTAGGGAAATTCTGCTCACATGGGACCATCAGAAGTGTAACGATCCGAGGTCATGAGAGCTTCTCTCTGGACCTCCCAGCAGGACAGACGCTAAGCAGAGGCCAGTTTAATGTGTCTGTAGTGGAGAAAATAACAAGTAAGATTGTCTTTTTGTTTTTGTTTAATGTCTTTCTTTTCTGTATCTCCCGCAGTAACATATTTGTGAATTTTCTTTCTTTCACAGCCCTTGCCAAAATTTCAGTCACATTAGAAGAAGGCTCTTTGTCCTCAACGCTGCTGACACCAAACTACCCAAACAGTTTTCCCAACAATGACCTGATGGAGTGGTATTTTCAGGTCCCCTATAATTATAAAACAGCAATTAAATTCCTGAACCTGAAGCAGCCGACTTGCTTAAAGGACAATACGGAAGTGACTTACAGAAACGAAGGGACGAGTAGCCAGGTTGTTGGACTTGGTGACGTCCAGCCAGAACAGAAACAGGGAAGCTTCTCACTCAGGCTGAGGAATTGTCAGATGGACACAAAAAGTCCTGATGGACTCTCCATGAAACTCACAGTGACTGCTTCCCCAGGTTTGTGTACAACATTACTTCAAATGTTATGATGCAGTCAATGTTTCAGAATGGGAATAAGAGATGGTTTGTTGTTTTAAAGGGGAAGTCTGATAGACCTGAACCCAGAGACTCATTTTAATTTTTTTCTGAAGTTGATGCAAACTTTGGTTAGTACTTTAAAAGCTGTTAATATTTGCAGCTCCTATCAACAGTGTTTTATCCATAATGGCTATTAAATCTGTACACATCCCTGTTCAAAGTGCAGATTACCATTGAACTGACAAACTGGATAAGGGAAAACATAAATGTTAAAAAAAATGCCATGTGCATCTTTATTTTTTCATATGACTGTCATAATAATAGCCTATATTCAGACCTTTACTTTTTTCATTCAAAGTCTTACAGGTGCTTGCCTTCTACATCAGGCAGCAGATGTCAAGAACTTGACAATCACTAGAATAGATGTGGAAATTAATTTCTTTACTTGAATAATTACCAGGACATGTGCCAAATCAGAGAAGGAGACTAAAACTCAATTAGACTAAATGATTTGAATGATTTGTAATCATTTTGGATTACAATTCTGAAAGTTGAATCAGCGTCAAGATGTTTCAATATTATAGATGTCAAAAATCAGTGCCGATACTAAAGCTATAGATGTCTTTTCTTTCGGTTCTTTCATAGCCAGAGTCTTTTTGTCCTTTCTGCCAGATACAGCAGATATGGGTATAGATAAGTAATTGATTAATTTTCTATTCATTGTCTGACAACTGGAGCAATGAGAGGGGAGGTAACAGCATATTTTCCTGAAGACATCAGAAGTTTTAACCAAAGGTGGAGAAAGAAAACATTGATTAAATTTGGGATTTGTTCTCTTTTAGGTAATCACCTGTATACCATAGTCGGTGTGTTGGCTGCTCTGGTCGTCATTTTCATCGCTGTGCTTTTAGTGGTTTGCATTGTAATTAGGTGAGTTCTTCAGCTTATTTATTTTTTCATTAGAAATCTTATGTGATCTGCTTAGATACACTTTGCCACTTTAACTTTTTCACATTTTGTCATGCTGAATCACAAAGATTCAAGTATGTTTTGGGGATTTTATTTGAGAAGTGAAGTGAAGTGCCATCTGTCAACTGGAAGAAAAATAATACATAGCTACCAAATGTCAGTAGAAATGCAGAATTTAAAAAAGTGTGGTGCAGATTTGTACTCAGCTGTAAGCGTTTAGATATCCGTCTGCAAACTTTCCTCATTTAGCAGCTAATATTTTTGTCCATCCTTCTTTTCAAACTGGCTCCAGTTCAGTCATTCTAGAGATGACTGGATTTAGCTCTGAACAGTGGGTGGGCTATCATGAAACATGAATATACTTTGATCTAAACCATTTTACCAATTGTAGCTCTAGCTGTATGTTGAGGGTCATGGAGAATGGACGTTTGTCTCAACAATTTTGCTGCCTCTACAAGTTTTTCTTCTAGGTCTAATATTCTTTAGAGCCCAAAGTTCAAAGAGGGCTGGTGATTTGCTTTTGTCAGTTTAACAAAGTGGCCTTCTTAGCTGGTACTATTTTGGTAACTTGTGCACCACCTTATGAGAACTTCTGCTCTTTAGGAATTTGTCCTGCAATCTGTGGGTTACTGGTTCGATTCCCGCTCTGTCTGCCTCTGTCGCTGTTCTTGGGCAAGACGCTTCACCCTTCTTTCCTGCTGGTGGTGGTCAGAGTCCCGGTAGCGCCAGGACATGGCAGCCTCACTTCTGTCAGACTGCCTCAGAGCAGCTGTGGATACATGGTATGTGAGTGACCACCATGGTGTGTGGTCACTCACACACACCATCACTGTGTGGGTGAATGACTGAAAGTAGTGTAACGTGCTTTGGGGTCCTATAGACTTGATAAAGCCATAAGTGCAAGCCATTTACCATTTTACTAAAAGCACTTAAAGTAACGCTCTATGTAGCACGGCTCATTAAGAATAGATTTGCACATCAATAACTATTTGCACACAAAGTTTAAATTATTTGTTGAATATTTAAATAATGATCATGTAGCTCTTTGACCAGTATCCAGTAGCTCCACATTGAGAAGTTTGAGTTTTTGGTGTATTAACATGACTTCAGAAGAGATGAGAACAAATACATTTAGAAAATAGCTGCTGAAACAACAGAGGCCAAGATTCTTTGACAAGACTATCATTATCAGTGAAACACAAAGTTCTAGTAAAAACTCAGCTCTTAGAAAAACAAACTCTTTTTTTTTTTGTTTTGTTTTCTTTAAAAAGGAAGAAGACACGAGATCGCCATACAGGGGAGTCAGTCTACAATCCAGGCAACACCAATATCCAGATAGGACCCAGGAACAACAATGAAGGCAGCGAGGATATTTACCATATTTACACCCCCATTGATGAATCACTAGTTTACTCACACCTTCTAAACAATGGTGATTGTGACGTGTATGAGTCGTATGAGATCCTTCCTAGGTTGGAAAAGAAACCAACCAGTGACAAAGGAGGTAATGACATCACCGTGTCGCTCTTCCAGTCTGAACAAGAACACATGATTCCCAACAGCTACGTGGAGTTCATTGTGGACAACAACACTGATGATTAAGAGCAAAAAACCAAGGAGGAACATCCTGCGACTCCACAACCACAAGGGCTGAAGGGAAACGACTGAGCAGATGATTCAGTTCAGCTTTTGGTTTTCCACTGGACCTGCTTGACCTTTTTGATTTTACTTTTGTTTCTCTGAGTTTTTTTTTTTTTCTTTCCAGTGGTGTTTTAAAGACACTACACAGAAAATGCTTAGTTCAAAGTTGACTGCAGCCGTTAATGTGTTTCATCCCACATGAACAAACTTTCCTTTAATTTCTTTCTTCTTGTGTGAACTAGTGTAAATAAATGTTGAACTAGTGTAAATAAATGTTAAGTTATTCATTGGAATGGTATTTTTCACTTATAAAAGTGTATTAATCTTTTAATCAATTGGTGGAGGTTGTTTGGTAAGATTGTTTATTTTGTCATTTCAATAAAACAGGATGCTGCTTTTACTACTAAATGCAGTGCTTTGCAAAAGCATTAACACCCTATTAAGATTATAAGGATGATCACTTTGCAGAGTATTGCAAAGTGATAACTGGTATTGCCCTAGAAGTGGACTATCATAGTGTGGCAACCTGGGGGGTGAATTTTCTTTGTA